AAAGGGAACAAATTGTAAGGGCAGACTGAAGCACGATCTCGCACGGCAGCACAAACGGCACAACCCTACGATCAAGAGTGAAATCGTGAGAGAAAGAGAACTACGAATTCTGAGATAAGGATGTGCAAGAGTGAAATCGTGGAGATTGATTGGGGAGATTTGATGAGGGAAAAAAAAGGGAGGGAGTTTTAAGAGGAAATGTCCACGCCGACAGCAGATCACCCCAAAAAAATAAATAAAATAAATATTCAAAAAAAATTTTAGATTTGTTTTTTTTTTTAAAAAAAATTAAAATAATTTCAGAGCAATAAAAATCAAAATTATATTTTTAAAATTTTAAAAAGTATTTATGACTAAAAGATAAAAAAAAATTCACAAAAAAATTTTAGATTTGTTTTTTTTGAAAAAATTAAAAATAATTTGAAAGCAATAAAAATCAAAATTATATTTAAAAATTTAAAAATATTTATGACCTAAAAGATAATAATATACAAAAAATAATAAGTTTTTTTTTTTCACCCAATTTTTTTTTTAGTTTTTTAGGAAAAAAAATTTGAAACTAGTTTCTGAAAATAAAAACAAACATATTGAAATTGATAATCTAACCATATTCTTTGAAAAAGTTTAAATTATCTCAAATAGTCATCTCAACTTAAGAGTGTGTTTGGGCTCAATGGGTTCATTTTGTGATTAATTCAATGATCATTTTAATTTTACAATTTAGTAACTAAAAATATTAAAACTCTTTCAAAAATTATAATAAAAAACACAAATCACTAAATCACATCATCCCACTAGCAAAACAAAACTTTTACCGACGAATAGTGTTATCGTCGCTAAATGGTTAACTCTTTGCCCACGCCAACTTGTCGTCGCCAAAAGTAAGCATATTAATAGCAACGCTCATTGTGTTGCTAAAACATAAGCCTCGTAGGTAAAAGTTTTGAAATTTTGGCGCCAACCAAAAAATTTGGCGCTAAAATAATGTTATGCCTTTTTAGCAACGACAACAAATTTGCATCGGTAAAGGTATACTTTTACCAACGAAATTGATCACTGTGTCGCCAAAAATATACTTTTGGCACTGAAAAATTGACGTCGTCGCCAAAAGTAGTCGCCAAAAGTGCAATTTCTTGTAGTGACTTCTGGGACCAAAGATTCTTCTCTCGAGCACACATTCCTTCGCTCGAGTGAATAGACAATTTGGGCTGGATTCGCATCTAAA